CGGCTTCTCAAGTGCAACAAGGATATCCTCTCCTATCGCTTCAAGCGTTGTCTGAAAATCAAAAGATATAGATGGGAGAGCTTCTTGTGTTACCAAACGCCAATCGTACCGTGGCAAAAATGGCGTCGATACATTCAACCAAAGGATCACGCAGTAGTGGCTTCTTCTCTTTGAATTTGTCAAAAACTGCAGGTACCACCGAAGGAGCGTGGGGTGCAAACTGAAAGGGGAACAAAATCATTGTTTTTGAACACGAAGCATCTGGAATTCAAGAGTGAATCACGCATGAACTTTTCTTAAAACCAACCTTTTTTCGTAAACCCTCGGCAACACCTTTCATGCACTTCGCTGCCAACGCTGCCACATTTATGTTGGCGTCCTTCTCAATAATCTGAAAGGCTACCTTGATAGTGAAAATAAATATGATGAAGAAAAAAGATTCAGAAAACGGGTTAATAGAATTCCAATCACCCTTTTCAACAGGGCAATGTGTTCGCCATACGATGCCTTCGGATCCAGTTTGGGATTCGCCGTGAGTAGGTCGAGAAACAGCTACAAGAATGTTATGGTACTCAGATATCAGAACTCCTTCCTACAAGTGAACAGAAAAAATTAGCAAAGCCTATACCTGTAGCGCGTCCCTTCTTTCTGTCCACTTCTTGCTCTCAATATTTGTGTTAAAATCATCAGGAAGTTTCGCCAGCACATCAACTGCTTCCAGGAAATCCCAGGGGTCTGCTTCCTGAATTATGTTCACATCGAGAAAATGTTCCAAGACAGAGAGACTCCCTAATAAATGCACTCAGCGCTACCTTGACGGGTGCTGAAGCGCTGGAGGGAACTGCGCGCGGTCCACTTTCCGCGACCACAGAGGCCTCTTCTGTAGCTGCTTGTTCGGTGCTGGTACTGGCGGCATGCTTGGCCATCTCTTCTGCATGGGCCTGGGCTGATTTTTCAGCAAACTCGGCTATCTACAACGGTAACAGAAGAATGTGTATTAAGCCTTTGCACTCTCTAAACTCAAGCAGAGACTGACCTTCTTCATTTTTGCTTCGTCGTTACTGAGTTCGCCAATCATTGACCGCACATTTTTGTCCCCAATAAGGCGATGGACGGCACCGATAGTTGCTAAGGAGGCTTCTCGTACATCTTGGTCAGCATCTGCGGCGTGTTTAATCAGCACAGGGACTATCGTCTTGATTAGTTTCTTAGGAGCCTGAAGTCACGTTCATAAGCACGTAAAAGCAATAGCTAAAACTGGAAATGTCACATGACATGAAAACCTTAAGCTGGACCCCTGTACCAGCCTAAAGGAGAATAAAGCACCTTGTCTGGAGTGAGTAAGTTAATTTGTCTGGTCAAGAAATTGTCCACTTGTTGTTTGATCTGCGGATTTGGTTTTCCCATGTTCGCTTCGATTTCTTCAACAATCACTTCGAGAGATGGGATCTGTAGAAGAAGCAGATTCTCGCTTATAAACCTATTATGAAAAAAATGCCAAAAAAAACCTAAAATACTGAATTTCAAAACTACTTCTCAAGCTTTTAACGTTCTTCAGTACAAAACCCACAGTAGCAGCTATGGCATCCGCGCATTCGATGAGCGGATCTCTGAGCAAAGGCTTCTTTTCTTTCAGCTTGTCGAAAACAATTGGTATGATCTAAGATGGAAGATTTCAGAGAATTCCTCCTGCAGACTACCGAAAATTACTGACCGCTTGAGCGTAGGGCGAAAATTTCGTTCTTAAACCGGTAGCAAATCCTTTGAGACATTTGGCAGCGAGAGCACACACGTTAATGTTTGCATCCTTCGCGAGCATCTAGAATGCATAACCATGAAAATGGAAAATGCATGGAAAATAAAGACAAGAAGAAAAGTCAAATAACTTCCTACCGTTTGGAGATTGCCAAGAATTTCGCCGTAACTGGCTTTTGTGGATAATCGAACGGTCGCATCTAGAAGCGTAGATAGCGCTTCTAAAGCCTCTTTTCGTTCCTGCCATTTCTTCGACTCCCTGAGCTCGTCGAAATTGGCCGGAAGTTTAGCCAGAACATCTATTTCGTCGGCAAACTCCCATGGATCCATACCTGAGAGGCAGGAAAAACTGCACAACCATTACTTAAAGCTAAGAAAAAACCCAAGCGAAGAGGATCAGTCAATAAAAGAACGGGAAAACAGACTAAATTGACAGAAGGATATCCACCACCATTGCAAAAAAGACTGTCAAACCGGCCTTGACGGATCACCCACATCTCCGCCGACGAACAGCCGCTGTAATCTAGAGGCATATGACTTTGACACCCCTGACGCCATTGTAAACCCGTTGCAGCAACAAAATTCAAAAGTCGCACCAACCTTTTCGAGCACATCAAAGCTAAGGTAAAATTATGGAGCTAGAGGCGGCACCCAATAAATAATCTATTTTTGCCAGGAATCTTTTAGATCATAAAGTAGATTCGATGAATGAGTAATCACAACCACTATTACCTTCACCATATCTTTTCGCCCAACGGAACAAGGTGTGCTCTTCTTGGCAAGGAAAACTAGTCCAAATAATTACAACAAACTGACAATTGAAACATGGCACGGAACGAGGAAAAACAACTGCATTCATGCCAATTGCAGGCCTTGATCGAAATCTCAAAACGACCGGTGAACCTTTAAAGGACATGGAAATGCAAAATTCTGTATTTGGAGCGCGCAAACGCGGCGAATTTCGTTGGACCCGTTCATAACTCTTGAATTGCGCGATTTGGCGGTTCCGCTAATATGCTGGAGCTGATGTATATGTATCGCTGCATATCGCCTGAATATCACACCAACGAACGCTGACTGTAAGGAGTCATTTTAGTCAAGTGCACACTTGTCCTTTCAGATTGCTTGGCAAGTCGCCACACGCGCAATCGGCGTTTTCCAGATTGATACGTATGCTTTCCTTCTAGCGTGATCGCCAAGCAGCATAAGTCGCGATCTACGGAAAGACCTTATGTTCTCAGAAGGGTTTATTTGATAGAGCGTACACGTTAGGCCGCGTTCATAGTTCGCGACTCGGGAGATTAGGATAGTAGGCGACAGGATATTAGGATAGTAGTAGAGTAGGAGATTGCGCTGACAAGATTGGATACGTATCGATTGAAATCGCTGGAGAGTAGTAGATTGGGCGACTTCAAGCGAATAGATCAATACATATCTAATCTTGTCAGCGCACTATCCTAATCTACTACTATCCTAATCTACTATCCTAATCCC